GAGAGGGCTGCCAAAGCTTCCAGGCGTTTAACACGTGTTACAAAGACACCGGCCTCTGGGGAGTGTACCTAGTGGCCGACGGAACAGCCGTAGACACTGTCATGAGCCACGTTCAGAGTGAATGGTATTATTTTATCTAAAGGTTTAAACTCACTGACCGATCGGTGCCTCAGACTGTAACTCATAGCGATCTACTCTTTAACTCGACGGAACCTTTAAACTGCAATTTCGCAATCATATAACTGTCTAAATTAGATTACTCTAAAGAGTTACTAGGTGTTTATAGTTTAACCTCACATGCAACTAACTATGGTGAAGACCGTCTGCATATCCGTAGAACTTTCACTGATGAGCTCTTTTTAAAACTAGGTTCATGTGTGTCTAAGTTTAAGTCTAATGTTAAATGTTCGATAAAATATTTTTGCTGTATATAATATTTTCATGTGATTTCTGTACGCCTGGAAAATGAATTAAGATTATCCTTTATACAGTTACCGCTGTTTGAACTGTCTGTCACCGAGAGTTGAAGCAACGATAGGTCACAGAATATCCTTCATAAACCTGATAGATCTTCTGACTCCCTGACTAGCAGCACGAAAGACAAGAAAATTGTATTTACAAGTACGTTTTGACCATATTGCACCAGTGAATATTAGGAAATGAACAAAGGATAGACAAGTGCTTGAGTCACTTTGTGTTCAACAGTGGTCAATCAGGCGTTTCGCCAGTCTAATCAAACACTAACTTCCTCAAGCAATTGTATGTCCTTTGTTCAATGCGTGATATTTTTCGGGCCAGTTTGATCAAAGCGTAAGAACAGTTACACCATGGTTTGAGCTTCCGCAGAAGAAGACCCTAAATCTCGAGCAAAGTCCGTCGACGCACTTATCCCAGATTATTGCTGGCTATTTCCATTAACTTCGGCTGGTCAGTTGTGTAAGTAGTAGTTTCGACTTCCTTCGTGGAAACATTCGCAAAACGTGCTTGAAGCGTATAAGCTGTGGCTTCTGGATCGGCAGAAGCAGCAGCTCTGTACCAAGGTTTTCTCGGATATCTTAACCCTGAACATTGGAATAGTTGTAAATAAAGTTTTCGTTTTTCATGCTATCAAAAGATTTGTCAGCTTGTCATAGGTAGGAGTTTAAGAATATTTCCTTTCCTAGCTTAATTTTCACTGGTATGTTCTACAAGTCAGTTTCTTTATCAGAGTCATATTCTTTGGTGACCCCTCTTTGCTTCGTGCTGTAATGTCACTTGACAGTTTCAACTATTGTCTGCTGTTCTTCAAGCGTTCGAATAATATTTATTACACTGAAATCAGATCTTTCACCGTAGCTGCAGAGTCGGCATGCTGTCAGCTTGTCTTTTGTTTGAAATACTCGTAATTTTAGTTGTATGAATGTTTTTGGTGCGGAATGCGCACTCATCTGAGCATTCAATTTTCTATGGAGTTCAGCGCAGCTTAACGCTTGGTTCCATAAAAGTGTATACTGTACCGTATTGCTGCCTTAGAGAATTTTCTATTCAAGCTGATAAAATACACACGTTCTAATGTTTCCATCTGAAGCAAAGCTTCTTCGTGTTGTAACTTTAATATTTATTTTAATTATCTCAGATTTTTCTCAGCATTGTTTCCATCTTAAGTTTTATTCTACTTGTAATTAATTTTTCTACATTCCATGTAGTATATCAGTTTATATTAGTTAGAAATCCCATTTGCTTGCAGTAATGTCTTGTTTCCCTCATTCTTCATTTATATTCTGGTATGTTCACAGCAGTTTTTTGGACCTTGTCATTCTTTAATATACCCTATTGCCATTTCGTATCGGAAAATTGGATCTGCAACAATATCGAAAGAAATAATTATAAGAAGTGTGGTTTTAGGAAATATCTTTGCCGTTATGTGACTGATGATGAGGTGGAACGAGGCAAAAACCTTCTTAGAACTAACATGCTCCTAATGCTGGATGGCTCAACGCCAATATGCGAAGACATTGGAAGGTAAAGCAATGTAGTTACAGAAAACTGACAATTATTTACCACTGCGACATGGTGTTTAAGACAAATGCTGTGCTACGGCCGAAGAATACCTATCCATGAACTGGATGCCCGGATTAATGTATATCTTCAATAATTCTTCGTATTGCTCTGTTTTGCATTTCATTTTGAAATTTTTTCAGGCTGTCGATGCGAAGGTGCTACGAAAAATTTGCTTGAAGTACATCTATGACAGAGATCCCTGCATTATTGCAGCAGGTATGCTGTAAAACGCTTGTTCACTTAATTTGTGAAGCAGCCTCTCACTGTTTATTTAGGTCAAACTGAAGCCGTTGATCTTTATCCAACGATCAGAAGACGAATGTCGTGGTGGAGATTTTAAATCTGTCTTTACTGGTTTGTTAATTTGCAAGAAAAACTATTAATGACATTTTGTATTTTATAGTTTATTGTTTAATTACAGGTCTGTTTACAGCTGTAACGAAATAGTGAAGTAAACTATTCTCGCATCTCGCCTTCTTCGGTTTCGTCTAAACCACGAATGAACAGCACGTTGTTACACCTAGAAAATTTAGGCAATTGGAGGTTTACAGGTTTCGATAAGGGCGCTGATACCTTATAAGAACTTCGCCAAGATTTCCTAACAGAGCACCATCAATGTACTCCTCGGTATTGGCCAGCTGTAAATTCATGTACGCATCCACCGACACCAGGTAGCCCTTGTACTCCATTCCCCATTTCAATCTGACGACAACCGATTTGCCGGTAAGAGCGTTCAGAAACGGCTTGGGGTTTACTGGCATATTCGTAGACGTCTGGAATGGAGCATTTTAACCTGTTTATTGCACTACTCGTATCATAATAACAATAATTTGCCATCAACCGTAAAAACACCTATAGTGTGAATATCTGAAATTTAATTCAGTAAGTTTTGCTTGTGGGGAAATAACGAAACGTAATAAAGTAAAACGGCTTCTAAAAACTCCGTGTTAAAAACCAAACAACTGGTTCAAATAAACTGATGAGAGAAAATTTTGGGTAATACCTTTCTGAACGAATGGAGAGGACAACAAACAAGGAAGAATAAAACGTGTTTTAAGTAATGTCTCGTTTAATATTTTGTAGAAGATTCTGTTAATCTGCCTGTAATTTGTGAACGACCCTCAAGTGTACAATACGTACAATACTACGGCTCAGGAATTAATAGAAATTTATTTCCATTAATTGCAGCCCTCTCGTAATAAGAAGCCTGGATAGCTTAATGGACTTCCACCCAGAGTGACAACAAAGAACACAGAAGCTGGCTTCTGACGCCAGTGCGAAACTGACCGATTACTGATTTACATACAGCCAAGTTTTAGTGGTACCGAAATTGGCGTTTTGTTGCATTCAGTGCTTTTTATTCGGTTACTAGCTTCAACAAAATTAATACGCACAAATCTTCCTCTGCCTTCGCGATCCGAAAGGATATGCGGTTACTGAAATTGTCTGACTGACATGAAAATAAGTTCTAATTACAACTGCTGAGAAAATGTAGGATATCGTTCAATATTTCAACAAAGCTGAATAAAAACGGCATTAACCATATTTAGCTTTAAACTATCAAAAGCTAATACAAAATATTCTCGACTTGCAATGTCAGATGTGCAGATGTTCTTATCTATATAAAGAATTATATCTTAAGTTACAAGTGAATAATTATTTGGCTGAAATAGTACCGGTAATAACGGTGTTCACATACTGTCTGAAAGACTGGTTAAGAACATTTTATAACAGG